TGCGTGCGTGCTGTGTGTGTGTGTGTGTGTGTGGTGGTGGTGGTGGTGGTGGTGTGTGGTGTGTGAGGTGTGTGTGTGTGTGGTGTGGTGGTGGTGTGAGTGAGTGAGTGTGTGAGTGTGTGAGTGTGTGAGTGAGTGAGTGAGTGAGTGCGTGCGTGCGTGCGTGCGTGCGTGCGTGCGTGCGTGCGTGCGTTCGTTCGTTCGTGCGTTTGTGCGTGCGCGCGTGGGTGCGTGAGTGAGTGAGTGAGTGAGGGAGCGAGGAGTGAGTGAGTGAGTGAGTGAGTGAGTGAGTGAGTGAGTGAGTGAGTGAGTGAGTGAGTGAGTGAGTGAGTGAGTGAGTGAGTGAGTGAGTGAGTGAGTGAGTGAGTGAGTGAGTGAGTGAGTGAGGGAGGGAGGGAGGGAGGGAGGGAGGGAGGGAGCGAGGCAGTGAGTGAGTGAGTGAGTGAGTGAGTGAGTGAGCGAGTGAGTGAGTGAGTGAGTGAGTGGGTGGGTGGGTGGGTGGGTGGGTGGGTGAGTGAAGGATGAATGAATGAACAAACGAACGAACGGACAAATTGATGAACAAATGATGGAATGAATCAATGAATGCAGGAGTCAATGACTGCTTGCATGAATGGCTGGCTGGCTAGATGGATAGATGGATTGGTTGGTTGCTTGGTTGGTGGCTTTCGTCCTATTCTTACCCCCCGCCTCACACGTTGATTGTTTCCTTTCCCAATTCTGCACGCAGGATTCGTCGACTCCAAAACATGAGCTCAGATACTTGGACCATCAGCCAAGCCTTGAGCTTGCTGTTGAAGTTGCAATCGAATGAGTCTCATATAAGGAAGATCTTCATGCTGTTCCAGAAGAAGAGGTGAGGAAGCATACAGTCGTCTTTCTTGATCCAGGCAGTCTTTTTTTGCAGAGGAGAGCAAGCTGCTTCGAGGTTGATAATTTTGTCCACTACTTCCGTGGTCTTGCGCAACGGGAACGACGTACAGGTACGCTGAGAGTCTCGGTGTTTCACTGCACCGCCAGCAGGTCACGAGGAAATTATTTGAGGAGAAGAGTCAAGAGTCAGAACGCTGGAACGTTCGAAGCTGTGGTTGCCGGTGCCAGGGCAGGCATTTGCCGAAGGCATGGGCCAAAAGTCCCGCAGTGCAGCACCCTGGCATGTGCTTGTGCGAGAAGGAGAGGGAGACGCAAACGTAGCCGAGGTGATTTTTTCGTGCAGCTACGGGGACGGGCACAAGTCTGCTCAATCTGCCGTGGAAGCCTTTCTGAAGGCCTTTGCGCGCAGAAGCAGAGGTATCCGCGTATCCAGCTCTGTTCAGGCTGCCGACTTTCAGGTGCATTCCGTGGACACCACCCGTGATCCTCGTTTTGAGGAGTGCATGACTCCGGATGAACAAAAACGGTGATGGGGAGTTCTGATGAACTGTGCAATAGCCTGCGCTTCCTTCAATTTTCACTTGCACGCACAACTCATTTTCGTACACTATGCAGATAGTATACATGTATGTAATATGTACAGGCACACACGTACGATATGTATGTATTTTCTTTGCCACAACTGGTGAATTGGAGTTGCAGGACTGGATGCAGAAGGAGCTGGGCAGTGCTGTGCTCGGGAGAGAACCCTTGGTCACAGCCTTTTCTGGGGAGTTGACCCAACAAATCCTTTGAACGTTGAAAGGGGCGTAGAACATCCTTTGCCATCACAAACTCATGACCCAGCATAGTGGCCAACCTGCCCAACTTCTTGCCGCTGAGCTACCATCGGGGACATGTGGTACAACAGAATGGTTCTGAGATGGCCGGAGGCACAGAATCTTTGACAGCGCTGAAGCAGCGTAGCTACCTTCATTCCCAGGAAAATGTATAGCATTGAGAACATGATGGAGTCAGCCAGCCTGGAACTTGGGCGAAACGGAAGAAGGCTGCCATTGGTCTCACATCTTCATGCGAGTGTTCTGGCTGAGGATCACTTTTGTTCGGACCTTTACATCAGCCGTGTCCGTCTCCAACCTGCAACAATCCAACGAAGGCATGTGCGCAAGAGCACTGAACAATTGCAAGGTTTGACTAGTCGCAGGATGCGCTTCGGAGCGTCCTCCTGGATCTCCGGCCAGACATCATAGTCGGGGTCTGAGCTTTGGGTCATCCCACGAGAGAGAACGACCAGTGCCGACAAGGCAAACATCCCGAACAAAACATCATCATGTGCGTTCAGTTCAACATTTTTACAGGATTGTGTGGCGCCTGCTTTTTGCTAGGTGTCGGTGTACCACATGGACCGCTGGAAATGATAGACGCCTTGATATTTTGAGAATGACATGCAAGCATTACATTTCCAGATCCAGGAGCATGGTTGCCTTGCTGCGCCCTCCCATATGCAGGACTTGCTCCCAATTCTGGAGGTTGCCAAGGACCTGGGAAATCTTCCGCTCATCCACGTGGCCACTGCTTTCCGCTCAGCCTTCTCTAGTGCTGGGCTAACCCAGATTGCCACTGCTCAGGATATGGATTTAAAAATGCGAGAGGCCCGTCTTGTTTGGATTCAGAAGACACAGCTGTATGCAAACCTCCCTCGAAGCCACCGGCGCCCGGCTTGCTTCTGCTTTGCTTTGTCAGCGGAACGCGGGCTTGCAGCTTACCATGACTGCCCCCAGGTCGTGAGAGGCATTCCTTTGCTCAAGGTTGAGACCAGGTCATCTAAGCCATGGGTCCATGAGTATCAAGACGGGTCAGCATCAAAGCACGGACGCACTCCGCGGGCCATGAGATCCCGCATCCCGAGCGATGCCACGGAGGAAGACCGCTCTCCCGGGAGAGTGTCGATTAGTCCTTGGGGGAAGATCTTGCGATGGGGTGCCACCATCATGTGCCGGGCCTGAATTGGTTTCGTATTTGCTCGCTGCCGACACAATGCTTTTTGTTCAGAGGGCAAGGGACTGGGCAACGCGCAGCTCCCGGAGTCAGCTGGCTTGGTGACTCCCTTGCCTCTACAGGCTGAACTTGTACAGGAAAATACAGGCAAACGGTCTGTGACCATTTGTGTCTGCAGATCACAATGGAATGTTTAATTTAATACACACACAAAGCACACACACATATCAAACAAAGCACATCACACATAGGACACACACACACACAGACTCTTAGCACAGATCACGCGCGTACACCAAACCAAACACACACACACACACTTAGACTCCCGAAGAAGAGTGACAATTATGTTCGAGTGTGGAACAGTCGCGTAATGTCCAATCGAGTGCATGTCGAGTCAGATCCGAATGGCTTCTTCGGATCCAAGATTTTACCAAATCCAACACCAAGCGCACACTGCGAGAGAAACAAAGGGGCCCAAAGGACTTTGCATCACTGTACACAGTGGAGCGTCCTCCGCATCACAGATGCATCACCTTCGTTGGTGCCAAATCTACTGGCACCCCCTGCTGCGTGACATGGTGCTAAGGGTTGATCTGGCACTCGGATGCGTCGCCCGGGCGCACACGCCCACGCCCGCCCACACTCTCACGCCCACGGCACGCCCACGCCCACGTGTGTGTAGAGTGTCTGGCACGAAGAGCGTATAGGCTTACCAAGCACACACACACACACATGCGCGGACTCGCGCGCACATGTCTCTTACGCACAAGAAGCGCACGCACGCAAAGCAATCAGCCGAAAAAGGTACAAGCAATCCAACAGACAAACAAAAAAAGAAGCAATCGAGCAAGCAAGCGAGCGAGCGAGCGAGCCAGCGAGCCAGCGAGCTAGCAAGCAGGCAAGCAGGCAAGCAGGCAGGCAGGCAAGCAGGCAAGCAGGCAAGCAGGCAAGCAGGTAAGCAGGCAAGTAGGCAAGCAGGCAAGGAGGCAAGCAGGCAAGCAGGCAAGCACGCAACCAAACCAACACACAACCGCGCAAGCAGACAAACGAAAGCGCACAAACAGACACACAAGCGCAAACACACAAGTGCGCAAGAACACAAGCCGACAAACACATAAGCGCGCAAGAACAAAAAACGTGCAATCACAGCAGCGCGCAAACACACAATCGCGCAAGAACACAAGCGCGCAATCGCAGCAGCGCACACGCGCGCAAGCAAACAAGCAAACAAGCAAACAAGCAAGCAAGCAAACAACAATTAAAAGCAAGACCAACCGAGCGAGCAAACAACAACAAACACACACACACACATACAAAAAACAAACAAAAGCAAACAAAAGCAAACAAGCGCAGCAAAAACAAACAAGCAAACAAAAAGGAACATTGGCAAACATGCAGACTGAAAAACAAACGACCAAGCGCACAAACTGACAAACAACCAACCAAAAGGAAACAAACAAAACAACACAAACTTACAAGCAAGCGAGCAAGCAAGCAAAACAAGCAAGCAAACAAACTAACAAACAAACAAGAAAAGCCGCACACACACATACAGACACGCACGCACGCACGCACGCACGCGCGCGCGCGCGCGCACGCGCACGCGCACGCGCACGCGCACGCGCACGCACACGCACACGCACACGCACACGCACACGCACACGCACACGCACACACACACACACACCCACACACCCACAAACCCACAAACCCACAAACCCACAAACCCACAAACCCACAAACCCACAAACCCACAAACCCACAAACCCACAAACCCACAAACCCACAAACCCACAAACCCACAAACACACAAACCCACAAACCCACAAACACACAAACACACAAACACACAAACACACAAACACACAAACACACAAACACACAAACACACAAACACACAAACACACAAACACACAAACACACAAACACACAAACACACAAACACACAAACACACAAAC